AACTCAAATTAAAAATATCTCACCAAAGAGACTGGAAGTTTGGCCATTTCACCCCTCCTGAAGGCAGGAAGAGGTCCCACCCAAGTCTCCATTACCAGCAGAAGAAATGAGTTTCATTTTCCTCCTTCAACAATGACCATGGCCTGGGTGACAAAAAGGGTAATGCAGGAATGCTGATGTACAAAGGAGTAATACTTTGTAGCATACAGAGACACCCAGAAGGCATGCCACCATTCCATAAGATTGGAAGAAACATTATTTGCCGTACTGAGGAGGCTCTAAAAAAACTGGACTAGGGCTTCCCTGGTGGCGTAGTGGTTGAGAGTCCGCCTGCTGATGCAGGGGACACGGGTTCGTGCCCCCGTCCGGGAAGATCCCACATGCCGCGGAGCGGCTGGGCCCGTGAGCCATGGCCGCTGAGCCTGCGCGTCCGGAGCCTGTGCTCCGCGATGGGAAAGGCCACAACAGTGAGAGGCCCGTGTATCAAAAAAATAATAATAATAAAAAAAACTGGACTAAGTTTAGAAAAATCTTAGCAAACTGGCAAAACTACTTACTTTCTTCTCCATTATCTATTTTTTCAACCTCCTTTCCTCTCTCTTCACTATCCCCCCACCCCATACACCCATATGCATGTGCACACACACACACACACATTCACTTACATATACACTAAGTCTACGGACTAAATAAACCAGGATGCCAAAGAATGCAAATCTCACCTTCAATTTAAAATATTTAAGAGATACTTGACATCACTAATCCTACAAAAGTCTTCTGTAAACAGCAAAAGCATCCTCCACGTTCCCTCATCAAATTTGTGTACAAAACCACAAAATCCACACAGCTGACCTCCTGACCAACATCAGAGGACAGGTAAATGAAGACAAAGAATTCCAGGCAAGGGCTTCCCTGGTGGTGCAGTGGTTGAGAGTCCACCTGCCGATGCAGGGGACACGGGTTCATGCCCCGGTCTGGGAAGATCCCACATGCCGCGGAGCGGCTAGGCCCGTGAGCCATGGCCGCTGAGCCTGCGCGTCCGGAGCCTGTGCTCCACAACGGGAGAGGCCACAACAGTGAGAGGCCCGCGTACCGCAAAAAAAAAAAAAAACAAAAAAAAGAATTCCAGGCAAGATGGTCTCCATAATTCTAAAGGCTGAGTTCCAATGCAACTCATTCCTTCTGCTGGTAATTAATAGAGACTTGGGTGGGACCTCTTCCTGCCTTCAGGAGGGCTGAAATGGTCAAACATCCAGTCTCTTTGGTGAGGCATTTTTTAATTTGAGTTTTTTAATATTGAATGTTTCAGTGCTCCATTCCCTTTGCCTTTTCCTATCTAACTGCCTTTAAAGTCACGTTCCCTTCAGTTTCTAGAGCCAACAATATTCAAATGTGGCTAGGTCTGCACACTGATGCAAAAGTTACCCTCACATCAGCACCAAACTTGAGAGCTCAACAGTAAATCTACATATAAATGATGGCTGCGCTGCCAGGGAAGGAGTAGCAGGAGAGTACTAAGCAGGCTGCAAAGTGACTGGGGGTTAGAAACCCTTTTGTGTTGCTTACAGGGAAATCACGTGGGTGATCTTAGCTCCCCAACCAAACTATGAACTCTGAAGGCAGATGCTACATCTTATATTTATTTGGGATCCCCATGGTACCTGCCACACAGCTGAGCACACAGTGGACACTGAAACAATGTTTAGTGATTTGATTTAATGCCATGGTGATAAACTTTAAAGTGTGATGCAGCGCTGTGAGGGAAGCAATTCTCACTCCTCTGTAATGCCATTGCCAGTAAGCCCTGTAACCAACGCTGCAGCTAATGAAGGGAGTGAGTTTGTCCACAAGGTAGCCCAGCAAAGGAACCTAATGCGTAGTGACCTTTGGTCCCAGTCTGGTGAGTAAGAATGTAATATGTGCTCAGTAAAGAGATGTTCTCCTGAACTGAAATGACCTGTTTACTTGTCTGTCTTCCCGTAAGCTCCCTGGGGTCAAGGATCAAGTGTTTTATTTTTGTATCCTCGGCAAGTTATACAGTGTCTGACATGTTCTAAGTGTGCAATAAATGCTCCTGGGTTGAGTTAATGAATAAAAAATGGTTTAATGAAATAATATAGAGAAAAATGTACATGACATAATAAGATTTAATACAGAAATTTCCACAGAATCTTATATGCATCACATGGTAGCACTTAACACTCTGTGCTATAATTGCTTAATAATTGTTGGTTTCTTAGATGGATCAATTAATTAATTCGGAAAAATATAAAGAAAAGGTAGGAAATACATTATGATATTATTATCCTAGTAATGGAGACTATCCCATTGTACCTGATAGTAGCATTTATCACTCCATACCGCAAATCACCTATTTGCTTATCTCCCTCACTAGAATGTGCCTTCTTTGAGATCAGAGGACATCTTTTTCATTTCTCTAACACCAGAGCCTACAACAGAACCTTACAAAGAATAGACACACAACAAATATTAGTTGAATGTATGAATCAATCATCCCTACACCTCTACAGATTTCACTGTACCTAAGTATTCTACCTAGTCCATGTTCAAGGGCCTCTGGTATGGGAAGAAAAGAAGTGTCATTTTCTCTATGCAGGATTTTGTGACAGATGCAGGTTTAAATGGCCTGATTCATGCTCTGCTGTGAGTGGGCCTCTCTCCTTTCTGAATGGGTTTGTCAGTTGAACTCTCCAGGACTGCATATTAGAAATACACAACCTCACCATGCCTAATATATGCTGTCTTGGCCCTGACTAGCCCTAGACGCTAGGTCTGCATGACTTTGTTAAATAAGAAAGTATCTTGCTTTGTGAGTCAGAGATAAGATCAGAATTCAGACTTTCAATGGCTTTTCTAAATAACTGAAGCAATACTTTGTTTAATTTTGTCCACAGGAGAATCTCAGAAAGAACACCAAGATCTCAAGTAAACCATGCAGATATAGTCATATATCTCTTGCCCCCTCAAAGCATCCCATAGACACCAGGGCTTATGTTTCTCTACTACTTTGAATTGATTGCATAGTCACCAAGCCCTCAGGATTCAATTCTTTTGTACATCTCCACTGGCAGCAGCAGTCAGCACCTAACCCAAAACCTTGGCATTTTTTACCTCCGTTATTTAAAAGTCCAGTATGAATACGGTAACCGCACCACTTTGTAGATCTTCTCTATACAGAACCAGCCTAAATTCCTCTTTGGTTATAAGTGCCTAGGGAGTTACACTCAGGTATGCAGGCCATTACAATAGTCACTCTCCAATTATTGTCTGGTGAAGAGACCTACGATTCAGGGGGTACCTATGTGTCAGTCCCCTTACATTACATAATGCCATATTATTCCTTGGACCAACCTTGCATGACACATGTACCCATTTTGTAGATGAGGAAACAGAGATTCAGAGGGATACCATAGTGAGACATGTCCCCCAGATTCAAAATCATGGTCTATCTGATTCCACTACATAGCACTACCTCTCCCTCTGCATTGTTGAACTCTTGGTGGTCCATGAGCAGTCCTCCAGAAAGTCTATGGTCTAGTCCCTAGTAGTATCCACTGACATTCATAATTATAACTGAGCCTACCTAGCATAATACTGGATTTTCAATAAATCCTTACTTATAGATTTATAGATTGACAATATTGGTGTCTCTGTTGCTAGAAGAAAATCATCAGTTTCTAATGAAAAGCACTGCTTTTTGGCCCCATTAATTCTGATGAGAAATATTTTTCAGGAACTAGGAGGAGCAGTCGATAAAAGTGATCCTAAAACCCTTTGCCCTATGAAATTGATATAAATACTATCAGGCCATTTTATATGCATCCCAGCCCAGGTATGTTAGGCTGAATTATTTCTGAGGCAGGGAAGTGTCACTGAAACAGCACTCGCCAGAGTTATAGAGCCCTGCAATCTAGTCCTTCCTCTCTCTCTCTCTTGATATCCCTGCCCAGTGAGTCTGAACAAGTCCCTTAGCATCTCTGGACCTCCATTCATCATCTACTGAAGGGCAACCTATTAAGATACCTGACTGTAAGGATCAAAGAAGACAAAGGTTGTGAAGTGCTCTCCAAGTATGTAGTATTCCTTTCATTAGTGGCCTGGAAGAGGGCATATGCCTCCCAGTGCATTAAATTTCCAACCAAAGAGGGACTTAAACAATTCAAGGAAAAATGAAATTAACTTAAGAGCTGTTATTTATAGCCTTCCACCCAGCCACCAACCTACCATCATCCACGTTACTACCCTACTACCCTGAAAAATTTCAATAGACAGCAAACACTGGACCATGTAGTGTCTAGAAAAAAAAATGCTTCCATTTGAAAACAGTCATTCCTGGTAAAGAGAAACAGAGCTAACTCAAATACATAGTTAATTCCTGAAATTTTCATTATTAGTGACAGTTTCAACCTCCTCATTTGTCAAATGTCACCATAAGAACTATTAAGAAACAGCAATGTGGCTTTTTTATATTTTTGTTTGCCTCCCTTTAACCGGCCCATCCATATTCTCAGCAAAGCACGTATATGACCAAAGAAAAAGCAAAAGGGGGCTTCAGAAGGCTGAATCACTCTCACACTAGGAAACTGGCCCCCGAGCATTCTAGGGCTCATCTATCTTTAAGACTACTTGTTGATTCTTAGCCACTTTAACTGTCGTACTGGTACAACAGGCTGGCAAGCGTACTGTATTTGCAACAGGTGGTACAATTCATATTACGCCAAAATACCATATAGGTATTTCAAAGGCTCAGACCTTGAGCTCCTACTCCCAACATCCACCCCTACAAAGGCTCAATATGTTGGGTTACCCTCTGCCCCAAGAAGCACTGGTAGCAAACCCTGACTTTGGAAATGGGCTTAGGCAGAGAAGTTCTCCCACCCCTGCCAGGGAATGTGCCACCATAGAGGCTGATGGGGTCCAGCGAGCAGCATGGGAAAGAGGCCTGGGAGGACCTCACAGAGCCGCTTAGCTGCACTCACCTCGGGCAGAGGCACACCGTTGATGATCAGGTCTGGTTGCTGGGGGCCCTGGCTGTTGAAAGAGTGATGGTAGATGTGGTTGGCGCTGGTATTGCGGGTATTCTGGTTCTCCACATTCAAGAAAGTGCTCTCAGAGCGGCGGCAGCCCAGAGGAAGGGTCTGCTGGTGGTAGTCGAAATAGTTGAGGGACGAGGTCAGGGAGGAGCAACTGACAACGTTCATCTTGTCTGTCTCCTCCACATCCCGGGGTACCAGGCGGATGTCATTCTTATTGATTTTTTTCTTCTTGCTTGATTTCTTTTGATGCCCATAGGAGTACTCAGCGATTCTATGTGACAGAAAAGGCAGCATGTATCGCTAACGCCCTCCCAAACCATGCATCGTTTAATAAACATTAAGCACCCCAGAGGGTTGCACCCCATCTCCGCTCCAGCTTCTTATTCTGGTGCATTACATCATCAGGTTTCTCCCTGTGCTTTCTACATGTGAAAACAAGCTGAGGGCTGTAAAGTTTTTATATTAAACATAGTAACCTCCCACTACCTCTCCCCAAATTTTCTATACTTTAGATTTGGAATTCCTCATTGTGAGTGACCATTTAACAAGAGTGTGGGGACGGGGAAAGTTGAGCCTATGGGAGAGAAAGCATGAAAATGCTCAAATCGGGAGCTTTTTTGGAAGCCAAAGGAACTCCTGGGTGAAATAAGAAGCTAGTTCTAATTTAACAGAAGAGGAGACAGAAAGAAATAAAAAATAATCCCCTTTCCAGTTCCTCCAAGCAATTGCCATGTGACGAACACCCTCAATCAGGTTCCTTGGTGACTGAACTGATCGATTTTGAACGGGAGCAAATCAGACCCTGTCCTTTGACAAATCCTCAGCTCCTCTCCTCCACACCCTCGTTCCCACTGCCCTAGCCCTGCTCCCTTCTACTCCCCACCCCACCCCCCACCTCTCCTCAAGAAATCTGATAGCCAAACCCATTTGAACGAGGGGAAAAGACTTTTTACCTCTTTCCCCTTAGGCTCACTTTCTCCTCAGCCTTTTTGTCTTGCTCCTTGCTAATGGGAGAAACCAAGATGCAATGCAGACACTTGCTGTTTTGTCCTTTTTTAAAACAGCCGAGGAGACAAATGATGGTTAAACAATTACTGCAAAGGAATTTAAAGGTTAGTGCATTCAGCATCCCTCTCCATTCAGGTGTACCTACAAGCAGCTGTGCTGGAACATAAAGAGGTCAATTTAATTAACACCGACACAGACCCAGCAACGCGCACCAAAGACACCAAGCATTAAGAGACTTGTCAAAAGAAATACATTTAAATGTAGCCAGATTCTTAAAGTCATTTATTATTTTGCACACAGTGATTCAGCTTATTGTCTGGAAATTCCATTTCTGAGCAATAATCAGCAAAACAATAGGGTTAATAAATAATACAGGTTGATCTTTACAAGAGAAAGACTGTGCCTGTATTCTCCCTCGACAAAGCTAATTGTCTGAATACAAAAAGGGAGCCCAATTCAAACAGCAAGTGCAGATCATCTCGCAAGTATCATAAATGAATGCATTTCAGGAAGAGGCTCTGCAGAGGCTGAGAACAAGAAACCTCTGCTTAATACACGGAAAGACAAGCTCTTAAACTTTAGGTTTCTAAAAAGTGATCAGACCAGGAGATTGCCTATCTCCAGAGGCACATTCTTGCTATGTCCCAGGGATCTTCCTAGAGCTGAGCAGTTGCCTTCCCCTCACCCTTTCTCTCTGTGCTCAGGCAGACTTGCAGTGAGGGCAAGCTGATGCTATTGGGGCTTGGGAGCAGATAAAATCCCAAAGACCCCAGGACTGGGGTTGATTTTCTTTTCTAATCGTTTAGAATCAATGAGAAGTTCTAATCATTTTGTTTACCCACGATGGGTAAGTTTGGCAATGCCCCGTCCAATTATTCAGCTGAGGCATTCATTGCACAGCCCTTTCTGTATCGAGCAATTATTTAATTAAACTGTACTTCATTAATCCCAAACCAGCGCAGGAAACAGAGCTCTTTACAAAATACACATATGAGTGAAGTTGGAGAGCACTGAGATTCACTTTTTTTGTTTTTTTTCTTTTCATTTCAAATGCTCTCCTCCCTGTTTAATGATCTCCCTGGCAAGCTCTCAGAAAGAGCTCTCACTTTGAGTCATATATCACCAAGAGGTGGCAAAGCCTTCAATATCTTTATTTCAACCTGATTTCTTTTCATCAAGGAAAGGGTCTTATGCATTTACTTTATGCTGAGGAAATGGCTTAAAAGAGTCCCCTCTATCATTATCTCCATATAAATAAAATTTTATAGACTCCTCATTTTTCTCCTATAAAAAATGCCACTGGCAGTCACAGGTTTCAAAGGTAAGAGTAATATTAATTTCCATTTCTCCCATCTGAAATGACTCGGAGCTGAAGGAAAGAAAAGTCATGGCCATTTCACTAGCAACAGGATTAAAGCATTTATGAGGCATTGCAGCTGCTCTTTTATGGCACCTGATTGATATTCATGTGTGGTTAGCATTTGTCTACTAACTTGTGTAACGCAGAGAATAGTAAAAGGGAAACAATAATTGCATGGCTGTTACATATTCAGGGGGCTCTGATTCACAGAAGTGTGCATTTCAGTTCATGTCAAATACAAATTGGACCTACAGGAACATATTTTGACTGATTAACATGCAAGCACAGATGGCACAAAAGACACACTGGATGTGTAGGTGTGTTGAAAGCACACACACACCTTGGTTGGAAATAGCAGCATCATTCATTTTCAGCAAACTAAAGAAACAACTTTTTTTTTCAACCGTTTCAATGAGACACTGCTGAAAAAAAATTACATGTATTATCCTAAATTGGATATTGTAAGGAAGGGCTTCAGTAAGACCCTCCAAAGTGCTTATCAGGAAATCTTTTTTTTAAAAAATTACTACGTGTCATTCCAGTTTCCACATTTCTATTCCCCCTCCCTCCCTCTCTCTCTCTCTCTCTATCTCTCTCCCTCCCTCCCTCCTTCCCCCACCTCCCTCTCTCTCAGGCATACCACACACATATTCTGCACACATTTCAAGGGAAACTGTAACACCACAGCCCATAGTGACATCCACTGGTAAGGACCAGCTCTTAGGGCCACAGCAGAGTTCCACATTAGAGGAAAGAACCATCAACTCCAGAAGATTGCTACTTCTAGTGAAACATCTGGATGCAAAAGTCCTGTTCCTCATTGGGATGTTTGGTCTCTACCCAATAACCAGATATTTGAAAACATATAGATGACTAGTAGAATTTCACTTCACATAGCCAGATGTTTGGGGACTGGATACAAAATAAGCCAAGAACACACTAAAACACTCTAATTGCCTGCTTCCCCATACACTCCTGTTCTCTCTTCCCCCAACTTTGTTTCCTACCTTAGACTCCCACTCACAGGCTTTCTTCAGAGGTTCTCTCTACAACAGGACAGGACAGCTGCCAGTACTCCCTTTCCTTTCAGTACCTGTCCCCAAAACACTACAGCCCCCAAATCAAGTTGTGGTACTTCAAGGTTCTACTAAAAATCAATCAATCTTTCTCTCTCTCTCATATTAATTTTTTTCTGCCATAACTTCATGGAGACAGCTGTGCAAATTTTAAAATGATAATTGCTATTCTGCTCATCATAATTATGTGACAGAATCCATTCGAACAGTAAATGATTGTCTTCCAGAAAACTGTCAGTTCAAAAGAATTGATCAACTTGGGCTGACATAAACTCCCCCCTCCCTCCAAAAAGAAGGGCTGTAAGTAGGGTGCATGTATTTAAATAGGAAACAAAAGCACTGGGGTTTTCACACAGAGACACAGATACACATTATTCACCCAAGACAAAGAAGGAAAGAAAGAAAAGTTGGCTCTACCTGCAGTTGTAGGTCCGGATTTCTTTGTTGTCTCTCTTGCACTTGATTGCCACAAAGATCATAGTGACAAAGAGGATGCCAGCAATGGAGCCCAGGGCGATAATGAAAATCAAGGACAAGTTCACCGAGCCCATCGATTCTTGGGCGTCGAGAGCAGGGGATAGGTAGATTAGGACGAGCGCAGAGGCGGAGAGAGACGTCTTGCCATGGTCGTGGGCCACCACGATAAGCTCGTAGGAAGCTTTGGAGCTCTCGCTGAAGGTGCGAGTGGTTCTGACCTCGCCATTGACCTGGTCTATTTCAAAGAAGCCGCGGTCGCCCTCTGTCATGTCATAGGTGACCCGGCCATTCTCGCCCTCATCGTAGTCGTCTGCTTTGACAATGGTCACCAGGTAGCCTATGCCCGAGTTGCGGGGTATGTAGACTTCAGCGGTGCCGTTGATCAGGGGTGGGGCGGTGATGACTGGGGTATTGTCATTGACGTCGAGGATGATGACCCGAACAGTGGAGTTGCTCTGCAGCGAGGGCAGGCCGCCGTCCTTGGCCAGCACCTTGAATTCAAATGCCTTGGTCTGCTCGTGGTTGAAGGATCGCAGCGCATAGATGTCACCCGAGTTGGGGTTGATGGAGACATAGGTGAAGACAGGCATGTCCCGCACCTGCGACGGCACGATCTGGTAGGAAACACTGCCATTGAGACCCAGGTCGGGGTCTCGGGCCGACACAGAGAGCAGATAGGCACCGGGAGTGTTGTTCTCCTGCACAATGACCTGGTAGTAGGGCTTGGAGAAGTGCGGGTGGTTGTCGTTCTCATCGGTGATGCGCACGGTAAAGGACTTGGAGCTCTGCAGCATGGGCACGCCGCCGTCGCGCGCCTGGATCGTGAGATTGTACTGGTCGTGCTGCTCGCGGTCCAGCCGTCCGTCCACCAGGATAGTGGAGAAGCTTTCATACTCCTGCAGCCGAAAGGGCACGTTGCCCAGCAAACGGCACTGCACGCGCCCATTGAGGCCGGAGTCTCGATCAGACACCCGCACCAGTGCAATCACGTAGCCCGGTGGGGCGCTCTCGCTCACCTCCACCAGCTCGCTGTTGACCGACAGCAGGTTGATGACCGGCGGGTTGTCATTGGTGTCCAGAACGCTGACGGTGACCTTGCAGTGTGCCGGGATGGAGTTGGGCCCCAGGTCCTTGGCCTGCACATCCAGTTCGTACACATGGCCCTCTTCATAGTCTAGGGCACCAGTGACCGTGACCAGGCCGCTGTGCGGGTCGATCTGGAAGAGTTCTCGAGTGCGGTCGTTGACGTAGCCATAGAAGGAGTAGACCACCTGGCCATTGGTGCCTTCGTCTGGGTCACTGGCGTTGAGACGGATGACAGGCGTGTTGGGAGGTGAGTTCTCTGGCACGGTCACTGAATAGGTGGACTCGCCAAACACAGGGTTGTTGTCATTGGAGTCGGTCACCTTGATGCTGAGGCCAACAGTGCCCAGGTGCGGCGGGTCGCCGCCGTCGAGCGCAGTGATGCGAAAGCTGTAGTGCGACTGCGTCTCCCGGTCCAGACTCTTCTCCACCACGAGTTCTGCAAAGCGCGAGCCGTCGCCGCGAGTCTTGATCTCCAGGCCAAATAGCTCGTTAGGCGTGAGCTCGTACGTCTGCACGCCGAAGCTGCCCGAGTCCGGGTCATACGCGCTGTCCAACGGGATGCGTGTCCCGGGGCTGGCCGCCTCTGAGATCTCCAGCTCAATCTGTGCCGCTGGGAAGCTGGGCGCGTTGTCATTCAGGTCCTTGATCTCCACCTTAATCACGCAGATCTCCATTGAGCTGGACATGACCTCAAGCGAGATGATGCACTTGGGGCTCTGGCGGCACAACAGGTCACGGTCGATCTTCTGCTTGGTGACCAACAGGCCCGAGCTGGGGTTGATGTCCACCAGGTGCGGAGCGGAGTTGGACACCACACGAAAGGCAGAGGCCTGCCGTGGGTCCAGTGCAAAGCCCGCCTCGCGCGCGTCCTTGGCCACGTTGGCGATCACCGTCCCGGCGCGCTGCTCCTCTTCTACCGAGTACTTGAGGTTAATGAGGGCGGCCGCCTGTGTCCACAGTACAGCCAACAGCAGCAGCACCGGCAGCAGGAGCGACTCCATGGCTGCGCGGGGCTCTGCCTGGCCTCGCCTCTCCACACCCCTCCGAGGCCGACGCCGCCGGCGCTCCAGCTTCCCGCCGACTCGGGCCGCCTGTTGCGCGCGCCCCGGGGCCCCGGAGGCCGCCGGAGGAGTCTCGCCCAGGGCGGCCCGGCGGCGCGGGGGGGACACCCGCGCCGGCTCCAATGCTGAGGTTGCGGCGGACCGGGCGGGGGCTCGCGGGGGACCCGGGGGCTCCGGGGGGCCGAGGGAGCGCCGCGCGGCCCCGAGCCCCCTCCCTCCAGCCCGGCTACTCAGTTTTCCCCCTTCAAAGTTAGCCGGGCTCGACTGGCCGCAGCGGCGCAGGGCTGCGGGTCGGACGGCGTCTGAGCGGCCGGGTCGACGCGCTGCTGAGTCCTGACCGCGCTTGAGGCGAAGGCGGGGAGTGCAGTGAGGGTACAGCCTCTCAAGCAGTGCCCGGCCCGCCGCGGCGCACCTGCACTGGGGCTGGCTATCGCGTAGTCTGTGCACCTGGCATGCGCAAGGACCTCCCCCCCAGTGCTCCTGGATCACTGCGGAGACAGGACCCGCCTGGACGCGCCCCGCGTCCGGGGGGGTCACGCTGGTCTTTTCGAGGCCTGTTGGGGAGAAAGGGGGGTCGCAGGAGGGAGTCTGAGTTGCTGTCAAGCGCCGCAGCCGCCAGAGTATCCGGCTGAGCGGGACGCCTCTCCCCGGGCCGGCAGAAGAAGGGGGAGGGGAGAGAGGCTGCCGAGACGAGAACGCGCTCCCTTGCACTGTGGTTGGCTTCAGAAGGCTTGAGGGGCGCGTGTGTCCAGGATCGGAGATGGGCACGGAGCCACCCCCACAGAGCAGTTGGACTGCGGGCGTTTTCGTCTCGAAAATCACAGTTACCAACGCAGCCCGAGCCTCCACGTCAAGTTTGCGAAAGCGGGCCGATGGCAATTTGTCCAAGAAAATAGAAGTCCGGGTCTTTCCAATGGCCCGGGGGGCGGGGAATGGGGAGGAGGGGAGGCAAAGCAACAACAGTACCGGCCAGGAGAGGCGGGGCCGACGCCGCAGGTACCAGGGGCTTCTCCTCCTCCCTCAGTCTGGGCTGGGGTGTCGCTCCGAGGGCCGCCGCCGCCGCCGCCGCCGCGGTAGGAAGCCCTCCTAGCTCAGTTGCATGTCGCTGGGGTCCGCCTCAGCAGCTGCCACGGTCGACGGTTATGTCGCCGCCAAAGTTTACTTGCGGGAGCGACTTGATTCCATCCTCCTGGAGAGGCGCTGGCCGCGCTGCGTTGGGCTCACTCCCTCCCGGGCGCTCCAGCACTCGGAGGTCTATCTCGCAGTCTCTTTCTGTCTCGGGCTGTGGGTGAATGTGTGAGAGAAAGGAAGAGTGAGTGTGTGGTGTGGGGAGTGTGAGTGGGGAGTGTGAGCGAGCAGGGGTGGGAGGTTTCGGATCGCCGATAAATCCGCTCAGCCAGAATGCCGCGGAGCGTAACGCGCCAAGGGCCCGTGCCAGGCTAGGGACGCGGGTGCTAGTGTCCCCCGGGCAACCGGGGCATGGCGCGCGGGAGCCGTGCTACCGTCTGTGCCCGCTCGTCAGTCTACCCACTGCGCCCACCGCCGCCGCTACCGCTGCTGCTGCTCCTGCCGATGCCGCAAACTACTGGCCGTGGAGTCTGGAGAGAGCCGGAGAAAGCCCGAGCTGCCTAGCCCGGCTACGCCAGGCGTTAGCCAATCAGCGCGCAGCCCAGCGGGCTCCGGGCTTGGGGAGGGGCCCATGCGCGGGAGGGGGCGGGGCGGGGCCAGCCGGAAACTTACACACTGGCGGGACTAAGTGGTACCCCAGCCAGCGGAGCCGCAGCAGGAGTCAGGGGAGGCCAGGCGGGCAGGCCCAGCCAGGGCAAGAAGGCAGGGTGGAGCAAAGAGAGGGGCGTGCTGGCGCTGCAACTTAGCCTCCCCAGGAACTGCGCGCCTCTCATGTTTGTAGAGATTGCAGGATTTGATTCTCTCGGCGTGTTTATCTCCCTCACATATCTTCATGTCTTGAATATAATATTCATATTCATATCCTTTTTCTCCTCCTCCCCCCTCCCTCTTTGTCTCTTCGCCCTGGGTTTGTCAGTCAGTTTCTCTTTCTCCCTTCTCCTTCTCGGGTAGTGGAAGGAAGAACGGAAAGGAGAAAGCGCCCCAGAGGTGGTCATTCATCCGGCTCTTGGCCGGTGACTCTTCACTTCAGCTAAGAACCACGGCAGCCATCCTCCTGGACCGTCACCCCTCTCCCTCCTTCCCCGGCAGACGCAGCACCACGCTCCCCCTCCACCCCCGGCCCAAGCAGGGCCCCTGACCCGGTTCGGTTCGCTCTTGTCTGTTGTTTATTAATCAAATGAGATCTGTGGCGCAGGGAGTGAGCCGCCAAGAGGGCTGGACACATTTCGTTGCCCCTCACCCCACCCCGTTGGAGAATTTAGCTCCCTATAAATAAACCGTACGTTTGAGAAGAGCTGGTGGAGCGGACGCCGCCGCGCCGCGCCGCGCCGCGCCAAGCCGGGAGAGCCCCGAGTCCAGCGGGAGCTGCGGAGCTGGCGCACAGTCCACATAGGTCGCTGGCAGCTGGAGCCGGCGCCGGTGTGCTGGGCGCCCCAGCCTTCCTGCGGGGCCTCGGTCCTAGGGGGCTGCCAGCTTCGCTCGGGCGGTGGTGGCGACAGTGGCTGGTGTGTGCCAGTGCTGAGAAGCGGGAGGCCAGCGTGGCTGGGGCTATCAAACTCGGCTTGCCTTCTGGACTGAAGGCGCCCTGGGGACAGAGGGGACTCCTCCCCGCCCCGTTCTGAGTCTCTTAATTAAGGTCACTGGCGGGAAGAATAAAAAGCACTTCGCCGAACAAGTTGGAGTGTTTTTTTCATCACAGATTGGGGGTGGAGGGGACCGGCTTCTGAATTCAGAATTCTTGGAAGAGTAAACCTCCCTTCTGAGTGAGTCGTCTCGGATATTTGGGAATCTTGGGTGAGCAATGTCATAATTAGCCCAGCGACGTTGGCCCGAGTCTGTTTGCTTAAAATGAGACTCACTTTTGCCCTTTAAAAAACATTAAACAAGAAAAGGGAAAAAGACATTTGAACACATAATAGGTTTTCTCAAAACTGCCATCTTCTTGCAGAGAGCAACCCAGCTGCTTTAAAAAATATATTTCTCTTTCCAAAAGGAGCTAGTTTAGCAGCCTTTACCTTGGAAGGGGAAGAAGACAGCTTCCTCCTACAGGAAGGAATTATTTCGGGAGTGAGGTTGAGACCCCCTAAACGTGCATCTGAGACCAAGCGGAGGGCGCGGAGAGCTTGATCCGCTTTCCGCGCGGGGGTCGTTTCACTCTCTCACATTAGGATGCAATTCAGCCCAGAAGATGTAGGAGAAAATCGAAGCATCTGCAATAAGTATCATTTAATTTGGTCGTTTAGAGATGCGGGTGAACAGCAGAGCGTGGCTCGAGGGAGCCCCGCGGCCCGCCCGGTTTTCTGCAGACCCTTCTGGAGGAGAGTGACAACATGGCAGGCAACGCGGGCGCACCTCACGCGCTCCGTAAAGAGAAGGGCTCCATTTGATTTATCACAGTTATTTACCCTTGATGTCAGCGAGTGGGAATGAAGTGCATCTTGGTCTAATTAAAAAGGCCTAAAAAGGCATTTGAAATGGGTTTGCTATCTGATCACGGGATATGAGTTCGGCGTTTGGCAGCTTTCTAAAATATTGCTTGGACTATTTAAACAGAACAATTAGCAGCATACTAAAATGTTTGCATGCTCTGCTTAGAAGCTTTTAGCTGTAAACTTTAAGGCGATCTGTTCCCCTTTAAGTTAAAAAAGGATGATGCTGCTTCCTTGTGGCAAAGGCTGTCAGGAACCCGCTGATCAATAAAAGTAAACTGGCGCCTCCACGGCTTGATTGAGCGGGAGCAAAGAGTCTGAGAAGTAGTCTCGGCCATTAACAATCCCCCAGGTAACAAGAAATGGAAGAATTACTCAGGTAAAATGATTAATATTGCCGTGGCATCTGAAAAGATGCACACAACAAGATAAGAGGGCTGAGGACCTCTTACCTTGGGGAGTGCTAATAGAATGTCTATATTCTGCTGTCTTTTAAAGATAAATAGGAGAATTCAATTCATGTACAATGTCATTACCTTTGTAAGTGCAATCACATTGTAAAAACCTGTTCTGCATTTGCAAAGACAAATGCTCTCTTAGCTAAGGAGATCACACGTGGTCCCCTGGGTCCTGTTCCCCGTTCACACTCAATGCGCCCCTCCTTTCCAAGTAGAGCACCCCAAGTACTCCCAGCTATACTAAACTGCTTTATGGAAGCCAGGTATGGAGAGAGGCAGGGGCGGGTGCCTCTGCTTTCCTACCTTCCCATCACCCCCAAGATCAAAGTGATAGTGACACCTCCCTTCCAAAAAAATAGTTCTTCCATCCCCCGCAATCAACTTCTACAGATAACCCTAAGGCCGCCGTCCTTTGCTCTCAGAATGTATTTTTTGCGAATAGACACACTTTATCATTATACTCCACCAATGTTTGCTCATAGACACACTTGATCATTGTACTGCAACAATGTTATTGACTAAGTGAGTAGCCGAAAACACCTTCATGATCAGGAATTTATTAATTAATTGAATAAAACCGTTCTGGGTGTAGATAATAAAAACAAAAAGAAAGTTCCCTCAGTCTTAGCTTCCCTTTACTTCAATCCTGAAGGGAGCCCCCCCTCCTCAGCCTCTTTAGAGACACAAGAGGGACATCTAGTGACCATCCTCAGTATTTTTGATCCAACTTTGCTGAGAAACACTAGGCCCCCCTAGGTATCAACTACAATGCTGTGCAGCCCGGGCCAGCTCTCTGGACCAAGACAGCTCTTGGTTCTGAGGCCAGAATCAAACTGGTAAGATACTTTTATCTTTAAAATTTCAGCCATGCCACTGAAATAATGCTGAATGGCAGAACTAGAATGAGGTATATCATGTTGACATCTTCCTGAAATTCTGTCCCTTCTGCCCAAAGTGATTGCCCAATTTCTAGTTAACAACCCCCAGCACACACACACACACACACACACACACACACACACACACACACACAGGCATCACAAGGAAAGGCCTTAAGAGAAGCAGCCAGGGATGTAGGCCTGCTGGGCAGGGGTGGGGTGATTTTTCACCATCCTGGATGCTGTTTATGACACTTTTGAAATACCAGGAAGATAAGGGAAGGGGGACAAGGCAAGTCTTTGAGTCCCTTTTACTTTTTCCTCTCTTCCTCCCAAGCCCCACCCCCAATCCCACCCTGTGACAAAGGATAATAATGACAGCCAGAGAGCTGTAGCAGGAAAAACAAAGAGTAGAGAAAGTGTTCCTTACATGCTAAAATCGTTCATCATGACCCTGATGCTTGCCTTTTCCACGAAACACAGAGAGGTAGGGAACAGTGGTGAAAAAGAGACTGAAAGCTATTAATCAGTCCAAGTCTTCCCATTTTGACAAGACCAGCATTCCTGAACAGATTATGCCCAAGTCCTTTCCATGCTTAACCCCTCTCATTAGGAATGGCACTTCCCAAAGGGCCAAATCCCTGCTGCTACAAAACTCATAACTGGTCCCTACATAAACACACATCATGGGGACTATTTAATTAGCAAAAGCTAAATCAGCAGATACATTTCAATAAATGACACTGCTCTCTAACACCTTCTGTACTATCCTGCAGTGACTACCTGTGATGTTTTGACAGCACCATTTGAGCTCATGACATTATTGCCTGAACCTTTTCATGTGAATTCTCTCCAAGTGGATCCCAAACGCTATTTTCCTAGGTGCAAACTCATACCAACTGTTATTGTTCCCCACCACCAGCACTTCTGAAAACAGAAAGCTCTCCCTTCAAAGGCACTCTGATCAGATCATGCCCATCCTTCCCACTGCTGCTTCTCTCATCCCAAGGAGGAGGGTAAGAGTGACATTCCATACCCCCACTACCACCAGAAGAAATGCTTTCTTGACAACTTGGGAAAAAATCATCACCAAATAAGACCTCAAAAACCAACTGAAATATAAACTGAATGCTAAAAAGAAGAGACAATTGAAAGTGTACAGACTAGGGATGCTCTCTTTTAGGCCAATCCATTTTTTTGCACTGCTATCCCCACATTTTAGTACTGCAACCTAGTAAGTGGATTCTAGGGGCCCCTATACCATGTGTAACTGCCTAGATTAGAGCTCCAGACACGGCTGGCTTTTGACTCCCAGCCTCGACTTCTCTCAAAGTCTCTTCTGCTATTTCTGGAGTTGTTCAAGTGGAGCAGGAAAAGATGCAGAAATATAATTGAAAGGAATGGTTGATGGTGCTGAAAGATCCCTTACCAAAATATCAGCCTTACAGGATGGACCTTGAAGATTAATTTTCTAAACTAAAAAAAAATATCTATCTGGTTGCCTGGTTTTATAGGAGGCTGGACTCTTTTTGGAGATGTCCACAGGACTGGAAAAAACAAATCAGATCTTTTAAGGCTTTGAGATATACAGTGATGGAGCTGGGGTAAGTGTGTGAACTCCACCTAGAGCAGCCCTTTGCCTTAAGTTCAAATAGACAATAATAGCCAAAGAGCTGGTG